AAAGAAGGGTTGACTTGCATCATAAACTTAGGCCACGATTTTAAGTTATAGGAATCTCATGCATTTTTGTATTGTCATGTGCATCAGAATACTTCTCCCTTGGATTAGTACAGACACATACATTTCGATGTCTATGTACTCCATTATATTATTTGGACTCCTTTCCTTTTGTGGCTCCAGTAGCATAAGCGTGCGCTTGTTAAACGGCAAGCCCAAAAACGTATAAGCTCAACTGGTCGATCCATGTGCATGTGAGCCATGTGTAGAGAAGTACTACACATCCAATTTTAGCCCAATTAGAAAGTAGAGTTCAAGGTCATAAAATATTTTTATGAAATGATAGGTTATAAACATAATTACATGGTATTTTCTGACCTCAATAGTGGGATTACTTATGGAGATTTCTTAAAATACTCAAGTCATATGCTACTTTTATCTTAAGATGCATCTGCACATATGACAATGTCGCGGTGACGGTCCTGAGATTGAAGTTAGGCTAGATGTTTTCATGTTACATGTAGCCCTTAGGTTAGACCAGGACATTATTTTATTTTTATTTTATTTTATTTAAACTTCATGCTATTGATTTTCCGCTATGTTGTTTTTAAAAATTTTACTATGAACGTTTAAATCCATGACATCATTTATAAAATATTTTAAATGAATGTTTTCGCATGTAATAATCATATCATATATGCATTGGCGGCCATATTTTTAATAGAAAAACAAGATCATTACAAGTATAAAAATACTTAGTAAGTAGCCTACTTACATTAAGACCTAGTTAGCTACCACGGGTTTTAATCTGGGCTCTAAAAAGTTTAAGTCTAAGTTCGGTAACTTCCTAAGCTTCTAGGAGGCTTTGAAGTTCCTGAGGTAGTTCTCAGGCATGCCACAAACACAATCGAGGATTGGAAGTTGTTCACCTATACTGGTGACGGATGATGTCTTTGACGGCTTATCTGAGTTCTGGGGTAAACAAACTTTTCTTTCTTCTTAAATATCTAACTTACATTACTTAAGAAGTGAATCATCAATATCCTAAATCTCGGAGGTGTGACCTCATCACAAATGAATCCGAGGAAAGAAAATTATGGCATCATAAATCTAAACATTATATATGTAAGGTTATAATGATGACTTTTTCACCGGACCATAAAAGTCGCACTGAATCTAGGAGAGCTACAGATGTGCCAAACAATTATTGAGTTTACTTGTGTGGTCCATTGTCCACACTTAGAACGGTTACGGAATGGCCTTGAAGGCCCTTGATTATTTTCACACATGATAGTAACACTAATTCTGGGTAGCTTCAATGCACTATTCTATCTTATCAATATGGGTCAAGCTCAATGGTAAAGGGTTCCTGAACCTACCATTCATTAGGGACACTATTATGTTTAATGGACACTATTAAGTTTAATCAATCAAAGCACTAAGAATGTAACGAAGTAAATGAGAAGTGTTTTATTTCTGGTGATATTGTTTATGACTACTAATAGACACGCGGTAAGTTATATGGATGTTCCTAAATGCCGTGGTTGTAAATTAAGTACTTTAGCACATCTTGATGTCTTATAATTTGGACTTCCTTTATCAATACTTTCTAGATTAGCTCGAGGCTAACTTTATTCAGGAATCACCCAGGTTTAGTTCTTTGATCATTTCATGGTTAAAGGTGTTTAGTTTACTAGAAACATCTTGTCTTGAACATCTTAAAATCATACCAGCTTTAGCACCCTATTCTTAGCTTAAATCTACATACTTGTCAAAAATAGAGTGGTGAGTTCTCTATAGCCTAGCTCAAGGAAATATCTCACTACAACTAGGTAAGTACGTATGTGGTATTATGATCCACTTAAGCCTCGAATGAAATTGGAGGCATGAATTGGTATAAATAGGATTTGACTTTCAATTTCTTTTTCTTGGCCTTAGTTGTTGATATGTCATTTTCTTTTCATCAGATTCACTTGATCGAGACACTTCTTGCTCGTCAACATCAATGTCACTTAGGTCTTTAGGTGCATCAGCATTTGACTAATCTGTGTAGTTTGCTCTCCTATCTTCTATTGTAGAGTTTTTTCGATGTTGTTTGAATATGGTAATATTTTCTTCCCTGAAGACCACCATGAAAATGCTTCATCAAAAACTACATCTCCTATTTAGCATCTTCCACTTGTTGGATCGCAACACTTCCACCTTTATCTTTGATTATCATATCAACAAATATGCACTTGAATGCTTTCTTGACAACACTCATGTTTGCATCTAATTCTCTCCCTATTTTTCGCTCTTAATTAGAAAGAATGACATAATAAGTTTTTATGCTAATACGAGTATGTTAGGTTGAATGGCACTGTGACCTATATGTGTCACGGCCTCATGTATTTATGAATGTGTATAGTGAAGATTACATTATAACAAATCATGAAATCATAAATTTAGTAACAAACCCCAAACCTGGAAATCATAGATTCTCTTTGATTCATGGTAATAAGTAAATCACTAGATAATCTTACTATGTACCGATATGATCTATTCTCAGTTTAACACCTCGATTTAAATGGAATCAAACAAAAATAGTTATACATAGCTAACCATAGTAATAGTTTAAATTAATTGACTTGTAAAACTTTAAAATTTTAATCAATACAAACAAATATTGAGGTGGATTTTAAATTTGATTGATATTATATTTAGAGATTTAGAAAGTGAAAAAAAAAATATGAAACAAAGGAAGATATTGAACGTATATTTCAAAACTCATAGCAAAGTTCATAGAGCAAATGGATTCATTGTTATAGAATTACGTATATAATCAATTTCGGGCTCTTGTTATAAATTTAGGTATATAATTAACATCATTTTACTCAATAGCTCATTGAAGCATCTTTCATAAAAAAAAAAAAAAAAAAAAAAAAAAAAATCTAAAATTACTCANTAATGAAAATGACGCAAATAAACTCAACATAAATGCCACTGATGCTGTATCGGTATATTAGGTAGGGCTTATAATAGTAAACCAAATTGTTTTAGTGTTCATATGACTCGAGAATCCAATAAACTTAGACAATCCAATTTAATTTATAAAGGTTGGGTTGAGTTAGACTTTTTTATTTTTAATTTGGATTGGGTTGAATTTTCGAAAAATCGAAAAATTCGAATTGGTTTATGAGTTGGTCAAGTCAACCCGACTTACCTGAAAAAGTTACAATCCAATCCAATGCTACCCTAAGATTATTATAAACATTACAAATATTCGATATTTATAACCAATATTAGTGATGTGTTATCACTTTATGAAATTTTTGTTGATAATGTAACATGTATGGTGGACAAATAGATTTTCTTTTAAAAAAAAAAAAAAAAAAAAAACTCGACACCCCAACTTGAAAATCCAGGGTTGAGTTGTGAACATTATTCAAGTTGTTCACGTCACTAACTTTCAAGTTGGTCCAAAATATTATTTTTTTTAACCTAACCTAACCTATCTCGTATGCACCCTTTAGAGATGTCTACAGGTCTTATTCCAGTCACCTATTTCATTCCTTATTCCCACGAAATCCATTTATTTCCACTATTTGATACCAATTCCTATATTTTTTACCTTCTCGTAGTTAAATATGACCTTAATAAAGACAATTAAGGTCAATATGAGGTCCATTTTCTCAATTTATGTTTAATTGAGCTAAGAAATTAGTATTACTAACGAAACAAGATGGACGTTCTATTAGGAAACAACTCCTAATGATAAATGGAGAAACTTCAAGGGACGAAATTCAACCAAGTAAGTGGTTTTACTATCGGTTTGATCGGAAGACTTGTCTTATGTATGATGACACGTGCCTAATAGTGTTGGCACATGCCATTTATGTTTTATATGTTGTGATGTGTTTTGGCTAAATTATAATAGTGAGGTGTGATATTATGATGATGTTATATGATGATGATGTGATAACGATGACATGACAGTGATGATGTATGCTTTATATGTTATGATGCGCTGACTAAATTGTAATAATGATGTATGATATTATGTGATGATGTAATGACAATGATGATGATGTGTGATGTTATGATAATGTTATTTGATAATGATAATGATGATGTGTAATGTTATGATGATGAACATGATGATGACGACATAATAGTGTTGATGTATGTTAATATGATGACGTAAGATTGTATAATGATGAGATGGATTAAACATGACGTGTTTTCATATCAAGATGACGTGCGTGTATTGAATGCCATGATGCATTGTGACGACGATTCATTTTTCTAAAGACACAACTCTAAATGAAGTTAATGATTATGAGCGTATGAAAACCAACACCTACATGTTGCTTAGAATAATATATGAACAGTGTATATGGTTGTGTTACGAAGATGATTTAAAGATGAAAACTATAGGGCCTTCATGCATTTTGTGTGTTCGTATACATCGGTATATTTCCCTATTGATGATGATGAGTATGAATGTATACGCTATGATGATGATGATGATCATGCCTCATATGACACTCAAGAGTTTACTGACTTCCAAACGTTGCTACAGACAGCTAGCTCAACTATGATGGGTCTAGAGAGTGCGAACTGCCTGGGGATCCACACTCGTACGTGTGAGTTGTGTGCAGAAAAGTACTACACATCCAATTTTTTTTCGAATTAGAAGCAACCCCTACGATGATTTTTAAATGATAGGTTCCTAAATCATGAAGGGCATGTATTTGCATTCCTTGACTCCGGAGTATTTCTTAAAATAGTGGAGCTGTATGTTTTTTTTTTTTTTCATGGAAAGGCAAGACATCTGGAAAAGATATCCAATCACCATGCTGAGTAAGACAAGAATAAAAGTTGTAGTAAAATTTAATACTAAATTAAAATTTGAAGAAAGTTGAGGTGGCACGTGCTAAATATAATGTTGTAAAAGTTGACATTTAATTTTCTCTCAAAATATACAAACATAATTTTAAAAAAAAAAAAAAACACAGAAAAGAAGAGAACTTATTTCTGTGTAAAATGAGTAAGAAGAATGAGGCAGAATCGAAGAGATAGATAGATAGATATGCATAGGATGATGGGAAGGAGAAGGATTTAGTGTAATTTAGATAAAAGAGCTGCTTTGAAGGCTTCATCGGTGGAGAAACCATGGGGAAGCTTAATCAAAACATCTTGGAGCATCAAATCGTTTACATTGGTGATGTTGGCGTGGTGAATGTGAACTTCCAGATCTCGTAATGCCCCCATCAATGTGGCGGAAGGGCAGTTTTGATTATGGGACTCAACTCGCACCATTGCGTCCCCTCCTCCCATCCTTTTTACCTCCACGTCGAACAGAGTGCTGCCCTTCCCTTGTTCCTCCTCCTCCGACGTCGTGGTGCTCTGTTTCTCCACCCCCTCCCCTCCCCCTTTCTTCAACTTCCTCACCTCCAATTCCATCTCCTCCACCTTCCCCTTTAGTGCGTTTATGTAAGATACTGCGTCCCACAGCAACGACGCCTTGTCCATTCTCGACACGTTCGGCACTACCGACCGGAGCGCGTAGAATCGCTTGTTTAGTTTCTCCCTCCTCTGCCGTTCTGCTTCCACGTGGTTCGTCGCGTTCTCCTTCCGACCTCGTTTCCTCCCTCTTCTTTTTCCCGCCGCTTTCCCCACTGGGCTGTCGGAATCCGACAGCTCCAATTCCCCTGCGGACTCTGTTCTTCTCGATTTCCCTCTGTCGGGCCTTCCCACTTCCTCCTCTGGGGCTTCGCTCATGAACCCAATCTCCTCCAAATTGATGTCTTGGTCCAAGAACGGAAGTGGGCTGCTGCTGTTTGTGAAATTGGATATGTCAGAGTCCAACACGGATTTCACCTGTTGGACTAAGCCCCAATCCTCGGGGATTATCTGTGGGGATGCGAGTTCGAGGACGCCGTAAGGGATTGGGACGCAGAGGAGGGTTTGGATGCCGTGGGATTTGGCCTCCTTGGCTCTTTGGCAGTCGTACCGCTCGAGCTCGTCCGGGCCGGTGAGCCAGACAGCCGCGCCGGAGCAGAAGGATCTTCCAGGTAGGCCGTCGGCGGGGGCGAAGGATTGGGTTAAGGACATCATGTAGAACCACTCGAGGTCGAGGGGGGCGTCGGGGAGGAGAGGGGGGCTGTGGGAGCCTTCAGGGGAGGAGGAGGAAGTGGACATAGGGGAGGGCTGGAAGTGGCCTTCGCGCCATGAGAGGAAAACAGCACCATTGTGGTCGGTGGTGGTCTGCCAGAAGATGGCGTAGGCCCAGGGGAGTGGCTGTGTGTGGAGGAGGAATTGGAGGCGGTGGTGGAGAGAGGAGGAAGAGGGGGAAACGACTGGCTCCTCCATGCCTGTGTTTCACAAGGTAAGTGAAGTGGTGGGCGTTGTTGGGAAATGGCAGCATTTATGTTATCCTACAATGTGTTGAGTGAGATTAAGAGACAAAGAAAGAGGAGTGATTAATTATTAAATGTAAGCTTTTTAATATTCACTTATTGCATTCATCTACGCCTACTCCAAAGGAAAACACGTGCATATAACTCCCCTAACTTGGTTTTCTAAACGTCATTGCAAGCCGTCAATCGTGTAGGGACACCTTACCCTTATTTGAAAAAATAAGACTAATGCGTTAAAATACTCAGTAAGTGACCTTACTATTACGATTAGGAAATGCATACACAAACAATCATGGGAGACCTATCCTTTGATAAAAATCATTCCATTCCTTAGCCTTGAACTCAGCATAAAAATGCATAAAAATGATTTTGTTAAGGAAGACCAAATGTTTTGGTTAGATGTCTCGAACATGGTTAAAATGAGCAATGTTATGACCATAAAGATAGAAAGGAGTGTACCAACGTATACTATGGAGTAAGTAGTTTCAAATGAAAAAGACCAAGGAAGCTTGATAGACGACAATATCTTATACTTTGCTATAGATAAGTAGTAGTGTTGAAAGGAAATTTTGTCACTATAATATGTAAATTTGAAATTAAAGTATCCGTATGAAAAAAATTGTAGTGCCTTTTTGGTATGGTTATAAGAAAGTTGTTAAAAGGAGATCCTCATATGAACAAAGAGATCAATTAGTAAACCTTTAGCAATATTAGAGAATTTTACTCCAAAGACAATGTAATGCATAAAGCTAATTAAACTATTAATCTAATTAATGAAAGGAAAACAAGTCCGATTGAAAAAAAGTTAGAAAGTTGAAATTAAGGTTAAGTTAAAGTATATGGAAGGTTTTCTAACCTTAGTGTCTACATGAATATTGAATATTGATTTCAATGGAGAGTCTGAGCCACAAACCTACTAAATAAATTTTGTTGCTCATGAAGTTTTAGGAAAAGTCTCAATATGATATTATAGGGTTATGTACGGAATTTGGTGACCATTAGAGTATGATAAAAGGGCTAAACCATGGGTAGGTAAAATGCCCCTATAATTCTGTTCCATTGGCTTATGGCCAAAGTGACCTCTAAATGTTATGAAAATTGATGAGTAGTCTTATGTCATGGTTAAAGGAATTATATATAGTTACAAGGCCATTGGAATATGTTAAGGATTTAAATCAAAATTTGGGGTAATAAATGATCAAAATACCCATGATAATTTTAAGATTTTTCAAGACCTTACAAAACTCAAAATACTGCGAAAATTCAAATGAGACTCATTTATGATATAAGAGTAAGTATGAAAGATCATAAGAAATTAGGACAACTTTGTAAAATAAATCAAGAGGAAAAGTAGGATACTACCCCTCAAGACACTTTATAAGAAATTAAGGTTTTTATTAAATACCAAGTGACAAGATGCTTGTAAAAGTTTTATGTATGCAAAGAAATGTTTATGACTCATATAGATTTAGGGTATACTGGTTAAGAATTTTTCATTAATTGTGCTCCAAGATTTAACAAGTAACTCTTAGAACGAGAATCTGAGTTATTTCTAGATTAAACATTTTTTTAGAGGTATTTGATGTAACTACCTAAAAAAATTGATTTCCACCTCTAGCCTCTCACCACGCCTCCCTCAAATACCGCATCCACCTGTGTTCAAACGGCTAACATACGATTTATTTGGAGAGAATGGTCATAAACGGCTAACATAATATCTCAAGAAACAATGAAAACATGAAATTACGTTTATATTCAAAATAGGCGAAACCTTGGTATAAGTGATAATGAATTCAAATGATGTAAGCAAGCAAATTTGGAGCTTGATAGAACTTTGTGAAGGGAATGAACTCTTTATCCACGTGACAGAAGCATTGGAACCGTTTTGATTTTTATTAAGAATTAAAACAAAGCAATAAAGAGAAGAGTAAGAACTCTACCTTTGTAGAAACCCTAGGTTGCAAGACTCCTCGAAGTATTCCAACCATGCAGAAGTTCTTCAACATTCCACAAGATCTTCCTTTAGTATGACTCGAACACAAGGTCAAGGTTTGTGAGAGCCTCTTGAAAGAAAATCCCAAAGGGATCGGAGAAGAAGAGTTTCGAAAATTTTCTAGTGATGTAATCTCATTCTCGAGAGAAAGTGGGAGAGATTGATGTGTGTTTGACTCAACCCGAAATTCCTATTTATAGGGACTCTTGGAGAATCTTTGTCAAATAATATATTTGTACATTTAATATATTAGGACATAATATCTTATATAAATTATAGATATTATAATATATTCTAATACATATTTAATTAATTTGAATCTCATTCAAATTTCAAATATATTTTTATTTAATGTATCAAAATATATTAATTCATTTAATATTTAATTGTATCAAATATAATAAATATATTTTTCCTTTAATATATCTAATATATTTAATATTAATTTGAACCCTTCAAATTAATATATTTTTCCATTTATATTTAACATATCTAATATATTAAATATTAATTTAAACCTTCAAATTAAATATATTTTCTCTATTTATTTAATATATCTAATATATTAAATATTAATTTGACATTTCAAATTAAATATATTTTCTCTATTTATTTAATATATCTAATATATTAAATATTAATTTGACATTTCAAATTAAATATATTTTTCTATTTATTTAATATATCTAATATATTAAATATTAATTTGAACACTTTAAATTTTCTTTCAAATAAATTGAACCTTTTAGCGTTACTATAAGCTAGGGAGGGGACCTTATGGACCTATAAAATTATAAGCTCTAATGATATAAAATTAATTAATTAAACTTTTTAATTAATCAATTTTCATTCATTAACTATAGGTCACTCCAAAACATAGAGTTCCACTCTTATGTACTGTAGGACAAGTTATGTCCATCGATATAATCATTACAAGCAAGTCGATCCTTCACGAGTTGTTCATAATTACAGTTTGGTCAAAAGTTTGTTTTATGCCTATAATTAACTCTTTCACCTTAAGTACAACTGATTTTCTAATGAACAATTTGTCTATGATCCAATCATAAACCAAGTCCCTCTCGAGCCAATGAGAGGGTGGGGCCCCATTGTTCAAGTCCCGAAATCAGTACTTAAGAGAACAACTCATCTACTTCTCTTATATGAAATGAGTGAATTCCATCTCATGATATTATGTTCCCAACTCCCTATTTGGGTCAAGTTCCTAAAATAGTAGGCATATTGAATCGGCTAAAAGAGTCATTCTCACCCACGTAAATTAAAGGACAAGCCCTTACAGGCAGAAGTTCATAACTCACTCAGGATTAAGATCGAGTCGCATATGATCATCATATGAAATATTAATCTTCTCAATTAACGGATTTCTAAAGAGAGATTAAATATTTCTTGGTCTAGTTTTTATACAAACTCATTGTATAGGATACCCCCACTTACATGTCTCCACATGAATGATTTGGATCAAAACATTTGTAACGATTACAAAGTGGGTCGTATCAATAGTGTTACCAGGATAAGACACTCAACTTTATCAATATACTATAGACTCTTTAGGTTATTACTTGAACACGATACTCTTGTATGTCAACCACATACTATTCAAGATTACATTAATAACCTTGGATTTTCATATAATGGATAACAATTAAATTACAAATGAAATAATATAAATTATTGTTAAAAACTAAATAATTAATTACGAGGCTTTAGGGCATAAATCCCAACACTTTGGCTAAGGCCAATCAAGTAAGTAGTCTTACTATCAGCTTGGTCAGAAGACTTGTCATGTATGATGACACATGTCCAATGGCCCTTGCACGTACCCTTTGTGCTTTATGTTATATGATGATGTGATGATGTTATATGATGATGCAATTACGTTATATGATGATGTGATGATGTTATATGATGATGTGATGACGTTATATGATGATGTTATATGATAATGTGATGATGTACATGATGGGACATGAGGATGATGATGATGATGCATGATAACAAGACAGTGTGAGACATGTGATGATGAAATGACTTAATATTATGATATTTCATATTAAGATGATGTGCATGTATTAAACATCACGATACATTATGAAGACGAGTTTTTAAACACACAACCCTAGTTAATGTTAATGATGAAAAATATATGAAGGCCAATAAATGCATGTTACTTAGAGTAATGTATGAACAATGTATAGAGTTGTGTCATAAAGATGATTTAAAGAACAAAACAATAGAGACCTCATGCACTTTGTGTGTTCATATACATCCAAATACTTCTCCATTTATATGATGAGTACGGACGCACATACTATGATGATGATGATGATCATGTCTCTCATGACACTCAAGATTTGCTGACCTCTGGATGTCGATACGGACAACTAGTTCGACATGATGGGTCCAAGAGTGTGTGAACCGCCTAGGGACCCACGTGTCACAATCGCACTTTTGATGGCAACAGACTTGCGATTGTGCGGCACTCACTTTCCAACAACAAGTGAGCTAAGCCAATTCATTCTTACGTCGCCTACGGCCAAGCGACGTATGCTCTGGAGGTGTTAATATAACACATGGGAAAGCAATTTGGATCTTAGGCACTTTTAGAACATCAATTATAGTAAATAACTAGCATGTTCATAAGTATTAAAACTTAATGAGTTTGAATACTAACCTTTTGTAGTTCAAATTCATTTTTCCTCACGAACCGGTTTCGAACCACCACTAGTGTCTTCTCCACTATCCTCCGGCCTTAGAACGGGATTGTGGAATCCGATGAGTGACTTAAAATTGGGAGGGATTTTGTATATATGAAGAGAGTGTTTGTGAGAAAAAGGTTTTTCAACAAGAAGAAGATCTTTCATGTATTATGATCACTCTATTTATAGTCATGTTCGCATGTTCATGCAAATTTGAGATCACCAAATTTGGACACCCAAAATTCCACTCAAATGTTTGGGATTATGTGGCAAGCATGCTT